GCGCCAGGCATCGCGCGAATTGAGGAAGCAGCCATTGATTTCAAGTCGCGCATGTCCCTTTACAGGAAAGGTGTGCCGAAATGGCCAAAATACTACGCAGCGGCGATGTTTCGATTATTCATGCACCTTGCGCGCGCGCTTTGTCTTTAATCTTTCGCCCAAAATCCGCTTGTAGGGGGCGCGCTCGACCTGGCATCGATTGGAAGTTACCCGCGCGCGCTCTGCGGCGTTCTGCGCCCGCGCCCAGGGCAGGGCCCTGAGCTCGGGCCGCGCGCCCGCGAGCGCCGTCGCGCCTCGGCGCGGAATTGCAGCAGGAAGTAGATCGGGAGCTTGCGAGATTAGGTGTTGTGTCTCACTTGCGGTAGCTGAGCGCTGGGCGCCCCCCCCTCGCAGTTTGGCACGGCAGTGCGCTTTGGCGAACTCAGTTTGAATGAGTGTGGAACAAGGATGTGGGATTATGCCGGTCGCTTCTCGGGCTGGCCATCTCGAACCGCGCCAGCGTAAATTTTTGCGATGGAAATTTACGCGCCAGCGGCGCGTCGCGCGAGCATCGCGAGAAGGGCCGGCTCACTCTAGACGCGGACGCTGCCGCGCGCGAGCGGTGGATAGCGAATCCAGGGCGCGATTTCGCCCCAGGAAAGCATCTGCACGCGGCCGCAGCTATGCTCGAGAGAAACAGGCGGCGGGCCGGGAAAGATAATGTCTTCGAGGGGCCCGGGGCGGGTATAATCTACGATCGGTTTCCGCGGTGCCACGCCAGCAACTACCCGTGAGGGGCGGTGGTTCACTGGGCCCCGAGGGATATTTGCAAGTTGCGTCGTGAGGGCGCTGAAGCTGGCGGTGGAGCGCCAGTGCAGGCTGGTCATCGAGCAAGACCACATGATCGTGCCTTTCCTCCTCAACTACGGCGGCGCGGCGCTCAGCCTACGCGAGGCGGGGGCGGGCGGGCGCGCGGCATGCGAGCGGCTTCGCGGGCAGAAGCACCGCCGCGAGGGCGCGGTGCGCGCTCGGGCCTTCCAGGGGAAGGCAAGCGAACCGCGCTGCGACGTCGAGCTGCTGAAGAAGCTGCAGGGCTCACCGTGGAGACCGGTGCCAGGTGCAGCTCGAGACGGGAGCGAGGCACCCGCGGCGCGGTTCCCGATCGACAGGGCGCCCGACGAGGCGCCTCTGCCAGCGGGGCCGCGGGAGACGCAGCCAGGCACGGGCGCAGGCGGCGTCTTCGGCCCGTGGCGCGTGCGTATACGCAGCGAGGTCGAGGTCAAGAAGTTTGGCCGCGCTCCAGGGTGCATTGGCCGCGAGAGCTACGCGGGCGGCCTCCAGGCGCGCAGCCACAGCGACGAGTGCAGGGCCAGGGGCACGAGGCTGATGGAGGGCGCCTTCGATTCGCGCATGCGCGTGAGGATCGCGGAGGAGCGCCGCGGCGAGATGCGGGCGGCTCCTGAGGCGGCGGCGCCTGAGGCCGCCGAGGCGGCTGGACAGCCGCCGGACTCCAGCGGGCCTCAGGGGGCATTTGCGCCCAGCAGCTCAGCAGCCGTGCCAGGGCAGCCAGCGCCGCGAACATCGAGCGCGACGCTGGCGGCGATGCCAGCACGGCCCAGCGGGCCGCTCAGCACGCCTCGGGCGGCTGGCTGGCCGGCCTCCAGCGGATCGCGAGGGGCGGCTGCGTCCAGTAGCTCAGCAGCGATCGCTCGCGCACCCCCCCAGCACTGAGGCGGGGGGGGATCGCGACGGCGGCTGCTTCCCGACGAGCTCGGCCCGAGGGCCATGGAGTGGGGCGAGGTGCTGACGCGCTCCGCCGAGGAACTGCCGAGCCCGGTGCAGGCGAAACGAGAGAGAGAGAGAGAGAGAGAGAGAGAGAGAGAGAGAGAGAGAGAGAGAAAGAGAGAGAGAGAGAGAGAGAGAGAGAGAGAGAGAGAGAGAGAGCGGGCCAGCCCATGGACGTGGGCGCGCTGGAGGAGATCGATGACATCATAGGCGACCTGGGCTTCCTCGGCGCGCAAATGACAGTTGTTCGGCCTTTTCAAGTTCACGAGCAGAGCGGCGTCGTTTGGCCTGAACCCAGGCCACGCGTTCGACCCGAGGGTGCGCGACGAGGACGGCGCGCCGTGGAACCTGTCAGACCCAGCACGTCAGAAGATGTGCGAGGCTCTCATCGGCGAGGAGAAGCCCTACCTGCTCGCGGGCCCCACATGTGCAGTGCATTCAGTGCCGTCATGAACCTGGACAAGGACAAGGATCCATATTCGCACGAGCAGAAGGTAATTGAGGGCATCATGCACCTGAAGTTTTGCGCGAAGCAGTACATCAAGCATCAAGCAGGTCGCGGAGGGGAGATACTTCCTCCACGGACACCCAGACCGAGCATGGGTCTTGAAGCTGGACTTCACGCTGGAGCTCATGCAGCGGCCGGCTTTTCGCGAGTTGTAGGACATCAGTGCTGCTGAGGCCAACGGACGGTGGTTTTCGATGGCGAGACGATTGGCTTGGTTTTCAAGCCCACCAGCTGGATGAGCATCTCCGAGTGCATCCTCGCCGAAGTGTCGATGAGGTGCGAGAACGAGACGCTTCCCCGCAGCCAGCGGCACCGGAACGTTCAGCCGGCGAGAGGAGCGAAGACGAGGATGGCGCAGAACTGTCCACCGGCTCTGGTAGCAGCCATCCTGAGAGGCCTGAAGGCGCAGATGACGGTCAACGGCGAACTGAGCGAGCAGACCGCGGGCGCGACCTGCGAGGAGGACGAGGTGGACTGGGACATGGAGGACACCGAGGAGTTCAGGGACACCCTGTCTGGGCAGCTCCTGGACACCAAGCTGGCCCGCGCAGGCCGGGAGGAGGAACTGCGGCACATGGGTGAGATGACGATGCACGAGGAGGTCCCAGAGCCCCTCTGTTCGGGGGAGACTGCGGTGGCGCCCACCCAGAGCAAGTGGGTGGACGTCAACAAAGGCGACGATGTTCGCCCGGAGATCAGATGCAGGCTTGTCGCGAAGGAGCAGAAGAATGTGCAGCTAAAGGCCGGCGTCTTCAGAGACGACGTGTTCTCGGCCACGCCGCCGCAGGAGGGTGTCAATATGTTCTTCGGCAAGATGATGAGCAGGAAGTGCGGCGACTGCAGGCGGGGGATGTTGATGTTCATAGACATCAGCAGGGCGTGCTTCCACAGCCCAGCGCGCCGGCGGGTGTTTGTCCAACTCCCGGCCGAGCAGCGCAGGCCGGGCTGGCGCGCATGGCTCAAATGCATGGCGGCACGAGAGACGCAGCGGTCAATTTCGCTGATAAGGTGATGGAGGTGCTGCGCGATGGGCTTCGCGATCGGCTTGTTCTGCCCATGCTTGCGCAGGCGCGACGGCAGAGGCACCCTTGTCTTCTGCCGCGGGGGCGACTTCGCGGCGGTGGGCGAGGGCGAAGCGCTGGAGTGTTTCGAGGTCGAGCTGTCCAAGCGCCCGCTGGTGAGAGCGCGAGGGGCGCCCGGCTGGTGCCCCGAACGCGCGCGAGAGATCGCGCTTCCCAACAGGATCGTCAAGCCAACCGAGACCGAGACGGGCGCTCCGTGTTTGCAGTGGGAGGTTGATCCCCGCCACGCAGAGATTGTCCCGTCGCAGCTCGGGCTCGGGCTGGGCAAGGGCAGCAACCGAGTCGCGTCGCCTGGCGCCAAGAGGATGGTGGAAGAGCTGCCGAAGCCCCTGTTGTTCAATGCGACGGAGACGGCCCTCTTCGCGGCGTGCGCATGAGGACCAACTACCTGGCGACGGATCGCGTCGACCTGCTATGCGCGGCGAAGGAAGCAGCGAGACGGATGAGCAAGCCAACGCCAGTGGCCATGGAGATGGCGAAGCGTATCGGGCGCTACTTGCTGTGCAGGCCGAGGGCCGTGCAGCGCTTCATCCAGCAGGACGAGCTGGACATCCTGACAGTGGCGCGTGACTCAGACCATGCGGGCTGCGTGATCACGCGGCGCAGTGCGACGGGGCTGGCGCTGCGCCACGGTGCTCACCCGCCGAAGGCGAGCGCCAACGCGCAGACGGTGATGGCAGCATCCAGCGGCGAGTTGCAGTTCTTCGCGAGCGCCCGCGGCACCAGCGTGGGGCTCGGCGCGCAGAGAATTTGCAAGGACTTCGGGCTGGTGAAGGGCCTGGAGATCGAGGCGGATGCGACGGCCGAGCGCGGCATGGCGCTCAGGCTCGGCGCAGGCAAGGTGAGGCACCTGCATGCGCAGTACCTGTGGGCGCAGGGTATCTTTCACGAGAGGCGAGCGAAGCTGGTCAGGGTCCCGCGCTAATCGGATACAGCCGACCTGATGACCAAGCACCTTGCGGGCAAGAAGATCGATGTCTTCCTGGATCGGTACGGGTTCGTGAAGCTGGAGGGGCGTATTGAGCTGTCCCTGAGGGCAGCGACGTGACGCGGCTTGGGCTGAGGAGCTCGGCCACCTCCTTTCCACATATCAGAGCGGTTGTGAGCCGCAGCGAGAGCAGTTGCAGGCGTGCATGTGCCTGTCGACGGCCGCGCGACTGGCGCGGCCTGGTCGAGGAGGAGCGTGGGGCTACAGACCTCATACCAGTGGGCTGTTGTGGGCACCTCCCCACAGCCGTGTCGCTTCAAAAGGAAGTATTCGTTTTCCGGTCCGACATTGGGATAGCGAAGTGAGAGACGCGGGACATCCGCGGCAGAGGCCGACGAGGAATGCGCGGAGAAGACCAGACTTGGCGGCACTTGCGTCGCATCATTGCAAGCCGTGCGGGAATCGCTGGCGCGGAACCGTGAGTCCCACAGTCTCAGGCGGCACAGCTTGCGCAGGACCCCGCCCGCGGACCTTCCTTCCACTTCCCTCTCTTCTCCCTCCTGTCGCCCCTCTTGTCCCTGCACTATTATATTTCCCCTTTGATTTCCTTCTCCCTTCGTTATTTCGTGCCGCCTTCTATGTCTTCAGAGGGAGAAAGGCGGAGTGTGGGGAGGGGCGTGGCGCGGACTGCGCGCGGGGTTGCACGAGTGGCCTGGAGGATCCCGACGCAGTCCGGGACGCGGATCCGGTCCTCGCGGAGACGGGCTACGGCGCCATTTTGAAGAGCCTCGTCGAGGCGAGGATAATGAGGATGAGGAGCACGAGTGGGAGTGGATGCCCAAAAGGATGAGGAGGAGGAGGAGGAGGAGGTCGAGAAGGAGGAAGAAAACGGGGGCGGGGAAGAGCACGTGGAGGAGGAGGAGGAGGAAGAGGAGGAGGAGGAGGATGAGGAAGAGGACGATGCAGAGGAGGAGGCAACGGATGAGAGGCACAGGACATGCGAGTAGGAGGGACGCGGCCTCTGGAGGCCGGAAAACGTAGAAGCAGATGCCGTCACGATTCGTTGTGGTCTCTCGCCTTCTCCCTTCGTCCTGCAGCCTCCTCGTAGGTCAGCCCGTTTTTCTTCCTGGCGGGCATGGGCATGGTCGCCTCAGGCGCCCTGTTCAACAACGCCCAGCAGCTGCAGGTGGGGTCGTCGTCGCGCTCCCGCGCGCGCGGAGGCAGAGGCGGAGGCGGAGAAGGAGGAGTAGGAGGAGGAGAAGGAGGAACAGGAGCAGGAGGAGGAGGAGGAAGAGGCGGAGGAGGAGGAGGAGGAGGAGGAGGAGGAGGAGGAAGAGGAGGAGGAGGAGAAGGAAAAGGAGGAGGAGTAGGAGGAAAAGAAGGAAGAAGACGGGGATCGAGGTTGGAGTATCATCGGCAGGCGGAGGAGGAGGAGGAGGAGGAAGAGGAGGAGGAGGGAGGACAGACGAGGACGAGCCTTTAATCCTCTTGCTGATCCTCGTCGTCTTTTTCAGACTCGCCTTCAACTCTCCTCCCTCGTCCTCCCTCTTCTTCCGCTTCCCCCCCATTCCGCCCTCTTTCTCATTCGTTCTTCCTATCACCACAACTCCATCCTTCTTCCTCTCTGTCCTCCTCCCGCCTACCTCCTTTCTCCTCTTGATTTCTCTTGCCTCGTCGTTCTTCATCCATCCCCTCCATCCTCCTCCCTCGCCCTTCTCCGTCCTCCCTCTTCGTTCTCCCCGCTACTGTATCCTCGCCCCTTCCCCTCCCTCTCCTTCCTCCTTCGCCCACCCCGTTCTCTTCTCCCTGTATCCCCTCCTCCTGACACGCCCCCCGTTTCTTCGATGTATTCCCCGTTTCTTCGATTTGTTATCTTTTCTTCCCCCCTCCTCATCCTCCTCTTCCTCCTCCTTGTCCTCCTCCTCACCACCACCACCACCACCATCATCATCACCGTCATCATCATCAGCATCGTCGTCATCATCATCATCATCACCATCATCATCATCATCATCAGCATCATCATGATCGAGTGCAGCATCATCATCATCGTCGTATCCGTATTCAGACCCATACCCATGTTCACATACACGTTCAGGTTAAGTTTTTCTGCTCTTGTCCTCCGCTTCTTCTCTCCTCCTCTTCCTCCTCCTCCTCCTCCATCTCCTCATCATAATCCCCCTCCTCCTCCTCCTCCACCTCCTCCTCCTCCTCCTCCTCCTCCCCCTCCTCCTCCCCCTCCTCCTCCTCCTCCCTCCTCCTCCTCTCTCCTCGCTCACCTCTCCTCGCTCACCCCTTAGACCAGCGTTCATCCTCATCCCATCTCCCCCCTCTCCTCCTTACAAGTTCATGCCCGCTCTGCATGAGCAGCTTCGCGCGTACGTAGCTGTCTCGCAGGCCTGTGCGGCGACCAATCGGCCGCATTCTGCACGGATTCTTGAATTCATGTTATGAAGTTGGGGGTTTAGACAAGTTAGTTGCCGATGATACGTTGATGTTGAATTGCAATTTCCACCCCAATAAAGCATACGGAAAGAGTATTCCACCTACCAGAGAGCATGCGGGAGGACAAACGGAATGTTTTATGAGAGACCATAAGGAAAACCATAGGGAGACCAGAAGGGAGACCATACGGGAGACCATACGGATGACCATACGGGAAGCGAGAAGTACGAGAGACCATACGGAAGACCATACTGGAAACCATACGGGAGACCACAGCTGCCTCTGTCATTCCCTTCCTCATCTTCCCTCCTCCTCCTTCCAGCCTCTCTTTTTCTCCCTCCGCCTCCTCCGCCTGTTTCTTTCTTAGCCATCGCACTTTTCAGCAACTTACAGTGGGGAGTCGAACCCAGAAAGCGTTCTGACGACTCTGGCCATCTCGGGCTTTGGTTTCTCCCCCCTTGGAGGTCTCTGGGAGCCTCTCGTGAGACTCGTGGGGCCTCTCCGGCCACTTTTGGACATCCTGGAGGCCTTTTGGGCCCTCAATGCGCATGTGGACGTTTTCTTATTCGGCGTTTCGACATTGGGCGGAGGGGGGGGGGGAGGGGCTCCCGCCTCTGCTTGATGCGACTGTTTGCACTAGTGCGTCCTGCGGTGGAGACTCCACCTGCGTGAAACAGGCGCCCAAAACAGCCAAGATCTACTCCACAGGGGGTGGGGGGTGCGGGGGCGGGCGAGGGCCCGCGCCGATCGGCAAAACAATGAGTAAGATAACGACGAGGATTGGAGCTATCTTCCGCAGCCATTTTGTCTCAAGCGTTCAGCTCAGGCCCGCCCCGGGCCGTCCCGCTTCGAGGGCCGCCCCGTCGAGGCCTCTCGCAGGGCGCGGCGCCACGCCCCAGCCTCCACCGGGCGCGCTCCGCTGCTCGCAAAGTTCCTACTCGCAAACACGTCCGAGAAGAGCATGTCTTCCTCGATGTAGTGCCTCCTCCTCCTCCTCCTCTCCTTCCCTCTCCTCCTCTTCTTCCCTCTCCTCCTCCTCTCCTCCTCCTGCTCCTCCTCCTCCTCGTCCTCCTCCTCCTCCTCTTCCCTCCTCCTCCTCCTCCTCCTCCTCCTCCTCCTCCTCCTCATCATCATCATCATCATCATCATCATCATCCCTCTTCCTTCTCCTCCTCCTCCTCATCCTCCTCCTCCTCCTGCTCCTCCTCCTCCTCCCTCTCCTCTTCCTTCTCCTCTTCCCCCTCCTCTTCCTTCTCGCAAACGTCTGAAGGAAAGACAGGCTTACCTCGGTGTAGCTTGGATCGCAGAGATCCCACGCGTCGGATCCAGGCCATTTGCGAGAAGATGCTCTGCGTGTAGTGGAACGCGCCTGTCTGCACATGGACGGCCGCGCAGCTGTCTCTGTTCCTCGCGCTGGTGCGCCTCGCCCCCGTCCGCGCCGTCACCTCTTTCGATCCAGCTGGCTACACCAAGCACGTGGGCACGCACGCCGATGGAGATGCCCTGGACTCTACCTTCTCGGCGGCGGGCGAGGGGGGGAAGTGAGAAGGATAAGGCCTTCTCTAGGGGGCCACACGCGTGGGGTTCACTTCGCTCAGAAATCCCCACCCTCCCCCTCAGAAATCGTGTGGGGGGGTAGGGGTAGGGTTCGCACGTGGCCCCCTATTCTCAGAAGGCGGCGGGACTTCTCAGAAGCCCCCGCGCCTTCCGAGGAGTTGCTTCTGTCTTCGGGGAAGGTTCAGAAAAACTTCTCGGAAGGCCGGGGGACTTCCGAACCTTCTGAGAAGGCCTTCTCCTTCTCACTCCCCCCTCGCTTGTCGCCGACCTTCGTTCTTGACTCTCCGCTGAGCTATGAGGATGCGGTGCAGAAGTGCGCCGACAGCTGCGACGCTCGTCCAGACTGCGCCGGCTTCAGCATGCACAACGATGCCGTAATCACGAATGAACATTGCACCCTGAACTGCGTGATAGAGCTGGAGCCCTACACAGGGAGCCCTTCGAAAGACACGTTCATCAAGGACGTCGACGAGGAGTGCATGGACAAAGGCTACGGCTGCGAGATCGACTGCCAGGCTTTGGGCCTCCAAGGTGGGGTCCGAGTAGGTGGGGTCGGAGGATCGCGCCGCATCGCCGATGCATCGGCCATGCCGCTCGACGCAGAGCTGATTTCCTCCACGTCAGCGGCGCTGCTCGACGCGGAGCCGATTTCCTCCACGCCGGCGGCGCCGATGCACCGCCGACGTCGCCGGGGCATCGCCGATGCATCGTCGATGCATGGGGGACGCGGCGCGCTCCTCCGACCCCATCTACTCCGATGCCATCTGGGAGGCTTTCACAGGCGGCCACGGGGCCTAAGGTCAACACCTGCGGCAGGTCGTGCTGCGGCGCTTCTACCGGGACGCCCTCCTGGAGCTCCAGGACGGCGACGGCAGCCAGAGCGACGGATTTCCCCACTGCGACTCGGCGTTCGCGAAGGTGCAGCCACGCGCAGAGGGGCTTAGGGGGAGGGGGAAGGCTGCTTAGAAGGATCGAATAAGAAGAAATGGCATACACAGAAACTTTCGACGGTCCGCGCGGAGTTCTTCGATCTGCGCCGGAGCGCCTTGGCGGCGCCTCTGGCGCCTCCTGGCGCGCTCCGCGCGCCAGGGAGGGGGCCCAACGCAGGTCCAAGAAATCCGCGCTGACCGTCGTAAGCTTATGTTCATGCCGTTGTTTCATCTTCTATGAGGAGGCTGCTTTGTAGAGAAGGATCGAGCCAAGTCTGTCGATGTAGGGCCAGCACCTTCTAAGAACCAGCCTCCTTCTAAGAAGCCTTCCCCCTCTCCCCTACCCTCGATCAAGGTAGGAAAATCCACCCAGACCCGATAATTGGCATTTTCTAAACGGCTCTGGGCGTTTACGAAACAGCCCTGTCCTGTGCGATTCCTCCTGTGGTTGCGCTTACTACACAGCCCCGCGTATCGAGGTGATTCTAACGGGGGTGGATTTTCTGCCCTCTACATTTCTTCGCGCCGCCAACATGATGGGCCCATTTTCCACCACCACTCCCATAGGTAGGAGATGGAGGAGGAGGAGGAGGAGGACCTCCTCATTCCCCCTTTCCCCCGTCCTACACGTGGTAGTGGTGGTGGAACATTTGCCCATTACGAAAGGTAGCGGACCAGTGCCCGTACTGCTCCACGATGATGATGATGATGATGATGATGATGATGATGATGATGATGATGATGATGATGATGATGATGATGATGATGATGATGATGATGATGATGATGCTGATGCTGATGCTGATGCTGATGCTGATGCTGATGCTGATGCTGATGCTGATGCTGATGCTGATGCTGATGCTGATGCTGATGATGCTGATGCTGATGCTGATGCTGATGCTGATGCTGATGACGCCCATGACACGAGGTAGCGGACCTGTGCCCGCACTGCTCCACGTCGTGCTCCGCCGGCACGGCCGCCGCCGCCAAGTTCTCCGTGGTGGGCGGCCTGCTGCGGGCCGGGCCGGGCGCCGCGGCGGCCGCCCCGGCGGCGCTCGCGGCCGCCGCGGCGCTCGCGGCCGCCGCGGTGGCGGTCAGGCGCGGGGGCGCGGCCCCAGCGATGGTTGGCGCCCGCGAGGCCTCACCAAGCGCGTTCCACTCCTCCTCCTTTTTCTGAGGCAGGCCGCGGGAGCGATCGCTCGAGGCGTCAGCACTCCTCCTCCTCCTCCTCCTCCTCCTCCTCCTCCTCCTCCAGACCTTGCATGCCCTCGCCCTCCGCCTCCTGTCTCACCTCGGTGGCAAGGATAAGGTTCCTGCACGCCAAGCTTCCAGCTTTCGTTCTCATGGGGCAGTCAGGGATCCGCTTTGGGGAGTGCCTCACTCACTCACTCACTCACTCACTCACTCACTCACTCACTCACTCACTCACTCACTCACCTCCTCCTCCTCCTCCTCCTCGTCCTCCTCGTCCTCCTCCTCCTCGCAAAGTGTCTGCTCGCAAACGTCCGAAGGAAAGACAGGCTTGCCTCGGTGTAGCATGGATCGCAGAGATCCCCCGCAGCGGATCTGGGACATTTGCGAGCAGTTGCTCTGCGAGTGCCAGAACGCGCTTGTCGAAGGTTCGGCGGTGCTCGGGGAAATGAGAAGGAGAAGGCCTTCTCAGAAGGCGGCGGAGCTTCTCAGAAGCCCTCGCGCCTACGGAGAAGTTTTTTTCGTCTTCGGGGAAGGCCTAGAGAACTTCACAGAAGGCCGGGGGCCTTCCGAACCTTCTGAGAAGTCCTTCTCCTTCTCACTTCCCCCCTACAGTCAACCCGCGCAGTAAGGATGGGCAACCTTCCCAAGGTTACCCTTGCATCCCTGCCTCCTCGGTCCATCCTTGGCCGCTTCCGTTGGCCGCGCCCCGCTCGAGAAGCTTCGACATGGGCGCCCAAGGCACTTGCCCCCTTCTCGCGCAGCCTTGCTAGACGGGGCGACGGCAGGCTCGCCGCCGAGAGGTCGGGGCGGCGAGGAGGTGACCGTCCCGCTCGAGCCCTCGGAGCCCTCAGCGGGCGCCGCCCCGCGCGAGCCGCGCGGCCGGCGCCGCCGCCGGCCCGCGGGGGGGGCGCGCGGCCCGCGGACAGACGCGCTTTCGGCGCGGCCAGGCCTCCCAAAGGCAGGGTGCTCTCGACGAGCTCGGGGCGCGGAGGGCGGGCGTGCAGTCGGGATCGAGGCACGCAGGCAACCCGCACGGTGAGGGTGGGCAGCCTTCCCAAGGGTGCCCTCGCATCCTTGCCCCTTCGGCCCATTCTTAGCGACTTTAGCTGGCCAACCTCGTCCGAAAAGCGTTGACATGGAGGCCCTTGCCTCCTCACCGCGCATCCTTATGATACGGGCCGGCTGTATTAAGGGAGCGAACAATGACATAAACATAAAATTCGGAGGCCCGCGCGGATTCCTCGGATCGGCGTTGGGCCTCCGGATCTTCCGCGCGGATTCGGATTGCGCTCCGCGCGCTAGGGACGGAGGTCCAGCGTCGATCCAAGAAATCCGCGCGGACCTTCATGTTTTATGTTTATGTCTTCGTTTGTTCCCCTATAGAAGATCGAGGTCGGTTCTTGGATGGTACCCTAGTGTTCTCCGTGTTTGTTGGATGTTCTTGTGCACCCTGGGGAGGTTATCCTTGGATGCTTTGTGTTTTTTGTCCGACGGACGACTCAGGGTCATGTTCTTGAGAGGTGCTCTTCTGGCCTAGGTCCGACTGTAGTGGAGGGCGGGGAGGGTCTGCGCAGTTGCAGTCAAGGGCAGCGGCATCATTCAAGCAGCCGGGCTGGCTACCTTGGCGTGTCTTCTCTCGGCGCCGAGCCTGGGGGGAAGCGAGAAGGGACGGGCCGTTCGTACCTCGGAGCTTGGCCCTCCGGAGATTAGGGCTTCGTACCTCGCAGTTTGAAACACTAACTGCCGGAGGGTAGGTTTTCGTATCTCGGAGCTTGGAACCAGAACCGAACCTCCCGACGGTCAGGTGCTTGCCCCCCAACTTTCGCAAAACGAAACAACACCAAACATAAGCGATTGTACGCAACCAATCAGAAAGAGAGAACGACGTAAGGAAACATACAGTGGAGACCCATGCCAAGAAACACCCTGCTTGCCTCCAGGGTGCTCTGGGTTTCTTGGGTTTCGATGGTTTTGCGATGGAAAGCGTGACGTCCCCACACTAACAACCAATGGACGTCCTGGGGTCTCAGGGTTGGGTTTCTTGTGGAAGGTTTCTTGTGGACTGGCCTTTACTGTAGATCAGGGAACAAAAAGGCAACAGACGGCCAAGGACAATTACGGGAACATGTTTACATGGAGCGAGAAGCAGCACGACACATTCATAACCATACTTAAAAACAAAGGGGAGCGTGATGGGGAAGCAGACATCTGGGAATCTAGCCAGATGCGGTTTGCGGAAACATGGGAGTTCGACGCGTGCATGTGTCATAAACTGGCATGTGCGTGCAAATCAGATCCAAGACAGCCTCATGAAGTCACATCGGACGGTGCGCGTACGCCGAGCCGAGGTGGGCCCGACAAGGGACCGACCTGATGCGACGTTTGGCGCGCCCATGCGGCGGGCCCTGCGTTCTCGAGCCACCATGAGACTATCCGACCCCCAACGTTAAGGCTAAAGCATCAGCCCGCGACTCATGCCTGAACCCCCCAACCCCCTGGCCGGATTTCTTTTCTTCTTTCCGCGGGGGGTCAACCTTCGCGGCGACCCGTTTAACCCGGGACCCTTGGCGGGCATGGATTTCTTTCTTTCTTCCGCGCGCGAGTTGCCATTGGAACCCTTGAACCCCTCCGACTACCGTACAGTTAGTACTTGAGTACGACTGGTACTATCATGTGCTAGCGCGCAGTTGCTCCTAGAGAGCACATTGTCCTGCCGTGCAAGTATTAGAGTGCAACTGGTATCAGATTACAACTGGTAGAGCTGTACGCCCTAGTACAACTCTCTAGTACAAATCCTTAGCTAGTACAACTCCCTGGTACAACTCCCTAGTACAACTCCCTGGTACAATTCTCTATCACAAATTGTACCAGTTCAACTCTTTGATGCAATTCCCGAGTGCTAGTACAACTCGCTAGTTCAAGTCCCTAGTGCAGCTCCCAGGTACAACTCCCTAGTAATAATACAACTGATAGTACAACTCCGTGATGCTGCCTAGCGATAGAATGTAATAGTACAATTCCCTAGTGCATCTCCCTAGTACAACTCCCCAGTGCAACTCCCTAGTGCATTTCCATTAGTGCAACTCCCTGTGCAACTCCCTAGTACTAGTCCCACTCCCGAGTACAACTCCCAGTAGGACTCCCTGGTACAACCCCCTATTACTAGCACAACTCCTTAGTGCAATCACTACTAGAGTGTTGCCGCATTGCACTTACAATCTGGACTCTCACGCTTTTCCTCCTCTGGTTGCGCTTGGGGGGTGGGGCCCCTCGCGCGGGCGCCCCCGCGGCTGAGAATTCATTCCTCTTCCGGAATGTGAGGCGGGGGTGACCCCCGTGCTCGAACCCCTTGTCAGGGATTTTTGTTTTTTCTTCCGCGGAAGCCGGACCCCCTGGGTTCCTCGGCGCACCCCAGAAGTTCTTTCCTTCCGGATGGGCCCCCATGGGTCTTTCGATGAGGTCGTGGGGTTGATGCTAAAGCGCACGGGTGTCGAATATATGTCAACATTTGCACGAGCTGCAGAAGCTTTCACACCCAGTGAGTCCCGATGACGGCCTCGACCGGTGTCAGAGTGCTCCAGGCCTTCGGCGCCGAGCTCATCCACGTGTCTTTCAAAACGCCGAGCCCAATCACGCGGCTTCCACGAGGGGCTCAAACTGCGTCGAAAACCCGAAGCGTGCGTCTTGCACGGTTTGATATTTCCACGAAACCTTTGGCCGCGAGCACACCCGCGCGTCTAACAAAGTGTGAGGTACCACGAGGCCCCCAGCGACCTGCGACCGCAGTGACGAGCCGAGTGCGCGGCCGAAGCGGCGAGAGAGCCTGGCCCTGGCCTTCGGTGGGGCGAGAGCGCATGTGCTCCTCGTCCTCGCGGTCGACGTCCTCGTCGCCGCTGTGGTCGTCGAGCTCGTCGCTATCGCCGTCGCCGTCGTCGTCGCCGCCGCCGCTGCCGCCGCCGCCGCCGTCGTCATTGTCGTCGGCGTCGCCGCCGTCAGACGAAGCCAGAATCGTCGCCGTCGCCGTCGATCAGGCACGGCACGGAGCCTGAAGATCAAGCCTGGCAGGGCGCGGGGCGGGGCGGCCACTGTCCCGCAGTCTGAAAACATAGCACGGCACGGCACGGCGCCCTTGCCGAAGTCAGGAAACCCTGATTTCCACAGGTTCGCGTTCCAACCTCCCTTTCTTCCCATGTTTTTCCCTGTTTCCCTCTGGTTGGCCTTGTTTCCTCATGCTTATCTCTGTTTTTCCCTCTGTGTGAGGAGGTTCTGGAAGGTAGGAAGCCCGAACCTCAGGAGGTCAGTGTTCTGACATCCCTCTTTTGTCTCTGTTTTTCCCAGTGTCCCTGGCCTTGTTTCCTTATGTTTGTCTCTGTTTCTCTCTCTCTCTCTCTCTCTCTCTCTGTATGGGGGGTTATGGGAGGTAGGAAACCCTAACCTTTGGAGGTTGATGTTCTAACCTCCCGCTTTCTTTTGTTTTTCGCTGTGTCCCTCTGGTTGGCCTTGTTTCTTCATGTGTGTGGATGTTTGTTTTTCTCTCTGTATGGAGAGCTTCTGGGAGGTAAGAGCCCCTAACCTCCGGAGGTTAGTCTTCTAAGCTCTTTCTCTTTGTGTTTCGTTGTTTTTCTTTGGTTGGCCCTGTTTCACTGTGCTTGTCTCTGCTTATGCTTCTCCTTCTTCTTCTTCTTCTTCTTTTGCGTAAGGAGGTTCTGGGATGCAGGAGACCCTAACCTCTGCAGGTTAGTTTTCCAACCTCCGGATTCCTGTGTTTCTTGAGGCCCGGAAGTCCCCCGGCCCCCCGACAGATGTTTTAAGCACTCCTTGGGGACCCGGGCGGCTTCTCAGGCGCGACGGCTTTGAGAAGCCCCGCCGCCTTCTGAGGAGGCCTTCTCCTTCTCGCTTCCCCCCCTCGCTCGCCGCCGAGCGGTGGTTCTGCTCGGATGGTCTGTTCGCGCCTGTGCGGCAAGGCTCCGTGCCGGCGGCCCGCGGCCACTTTTTGCCAGCCCGCGCGCGGGGCCGGCCGAGCTCCCCCCCCGCGCGCGGCTTTTTGCCTGAAGATCCGGGGCAACGATCGGGGGGATGGGTAGTTATAGGAAGGGATGCATCGCCCCCCAATCGCCCATTGATCGCCGATGGGGGCCCGATTGCCCCAACCTGCCCAGGAAGGTGCGGATTCACGATCGGAGGCCTGTCGCCGATCTATCGGCGAGGCATCGCCGATTCCAGGTCGATGCATCGCCCCCCTGTGCCAGTCCCCCCCGATCGTTGCCCCTCAGAAGAGCTCATAGAGCTGGTGGCCTTCGGCTCATCCCGCCACCGCGCCAACATGCTAACACCATAGCACCGAGCGCTTCCACTACTCGCATAGTGCCTACTCGCACAACCGTCCGACAAAAAGCATGCCTTTCTCTACGGAGTGCATCGTAAAGCCCCCGCGGCGGATCCAAACCAATTGCAAGTAGTTGCTTTGCGAGTAGTGGAACGCGATTGTCCACCATATGTGCGCCGCCCTCCCCCCAGGGGAGCCGCGCGCACCGAGAAATCTTGTAGCGTGTGCGTCGTGGCGGGCGCTTTCTGGCCGCGCCGTTCGGAAAGCGATATGCTGCAAGATGGGTATACTATGTGTTCGGGTCGAACGCGTGCCTCCAAGGAGGACAGATCGTATCAGTACGTCTCTGTGCGTCCCATGGTTTGTGGTGGGAGGCCCCTCTGGGCCTCCTGGGCGCCTCTGGGGCTTCCTGGGGGCTCCTGGGGCGGAAGGCTCATGTTTGCGGTTCGTGTTCCCTCTCTTGGGCCCCTTTTGGGGCCGTCTTGGGGCCCCTTGGGCCGTCTTGGGCGTCTCTTGGGCCGTATTGGGGCGCTCTAAGGCCGTCTTGGAGCCTTTTGG